TTTATAGTTTTAGCCTGTAGTCCATTTTGAGTTAATTTTTGTATATGGTGTCAGGTAAGGATTCAACTTCATTCTCTTGCCTATGGATATCCAGTTTTTCCAGCATGATTTGTTGAAGAGACTATCCTTTTCCCCATTGAATGGAATTGTTAGTGTTTTCTACATAGAAGATTACGTTATCTGTGAACAGAGATAATCTTATGCTCTCCTTTCCAATGTTTATACTTTTATTTCTTTTTCTTGCCTAAGTACTCTAGCTGTTTACTCCCAGTGTTATGTTGAAGAGAAGCGGCATGTGTGCCTCCTGATCTTGTTCCTGATCTTAGGGGAAAGCTTTCATTCTTTCACCACTGAGAATGTTGTTAGCTGTGGGATTCTCAAATATGGCCTTTATCATGATAGGGAAGTTACTTTCTATCCCTAATTTCTTGAGTGTTTTTATCATGAAAAAGTATTGGATTTTTAAAAATTGTGTTTTCTGCATCAACTGAGATGATCATACAGTTCTTTCTTTCTTTTCTTTCTTTCTTTTCTTTTTTCTTTTCTTTTCTTTCTTTCTTTCTTTCTTTCTTTCTTTCTTTCTTTCTTTCTTTCTCTTTCTTTCTCTCTTTCTCTCTTTCTCTCTTCCTTTCTTCCTTTCTTTCCTTTCTTTCCTTTCTTTCCTTTCCTTCCGTCCGTCCGTCCGTCCTTCCTTTTTTTTTTTTTGAGACAGAATCTCACTCTGTCGCCCAGGCTGGAGTGCAGTGGTGCAGTCTCGGCTCACTGCAACCTCTGCCTCCTGGGTTCAAGTGATTCTCCTGCCTCAGCCTCCCGGGTAACTGGGATTACAGGCGCCTGCCACCACACCCGCCTAATTTCTTGTATTTTTAGTAGAGATAGGGTTTCACCGTGTTAGCCAGGATGGTCTCAATCTCCTGACCTCGTGATCCACCCGCCTCAGCCTCCCAATGTGCTGGGATTACAGGCTTGAGCCACCGTGCCGGGCCTTTTAATTTTTTTAATGTGATGCATTTTACTGATTGTTTTTGTATGTTGAACCTCTTTGCACTCAGGGAATAAATTCCAGTTGCTTATGGTGAGTAATTTCTTTGATACGCTGTTGGGTTCACTTTGCTAATATTTCATTGAGAATTTTTGCGTTTAAATACGTAAGGCATATTGGTCTGTAATTTTCTTTTTTGTGATGTCTTCATTGGGCTTTGGTATCAGTGTAATGCTGACTTCATAGAATGAATTAGAAAGTGTTCCCTCCTCTTTGATTTATGGGAAGAGTTTGAGAAGAATTAGAGTTGGTTCTTCTTTCAGTGTTTTGGTGAGGTTCACTAGTAAAGCAGTCTGGTCTTGGGCTTGTTATTGGTAGGTTTTTTTTTTTTGTTTGTTTTGTTTTGTTTTTGATGAAGTTTTGCTCTTGTTGCCCAGGCTGGAGTCCAGTGGTGCCATCTCAGCTCACTGCAACCTCCGCCTCCCAGGTTCAAGTGATTCTCCTGCCTCAACCTCTTGAGTAGCTGGGATTACAGGCGTGTGTCACCACACCCGGCTAATTTTTGTATTTTTAGTAGAGACGGGGTTTCTTCATGTTCATCAGGCTGGTTTTGAACTCCTGACCTCAGGTGATCCGCCCACCTCAGCCTCCCAAAGTGCTGGGATTAAAGGTGTGAGCCACCACACATGGCCAGTAGGTTTCTTATTACTGATTCAGTCTCCTCACTTCCTCAATAGTTGTAGGTCTATTCAAATTTTCTATTTCTTTTTTTTTTTTTTTGAGACGGAATCTCGCTCTGTCGCCCAGGTTGGAGTGCAGTGGTGCCATCTCGGCTTACTGCTGCAAGCTCCGCCTCCCGGGTTTACGCCATTCTCCTGCCTCAGCCTCCCGAGTAGCTGGGACTACAGGCGCCTGCCACCTCGCCTGGCTAGATTTTTTTGTATTTTTTTTTTTTTTTAGTAGAGACGGGATTTCACTGTGTTAGCCAGGATGGTCTCGATCTCCTGACCTCGTGATCTGCCTGTCTTGGCCTCCCAAAGTGCTGGGATTACAGGCTTGAGCCACTGCACCCAGCCACCAAATTTTCTATTTCTTAATGTGACAGTTTTGGTAAATTGTGTGTTTCTAGGAATATGTCTATTTTATCCAGGTTATAAAATTTATTGGTATACTGCTGTTCATAGTATTCTCTTACAATCTTTTTTATTTCCATAAAATAAGTAATACTGTTTCCAATTTCACCTCTGATTTTAGTAATTTGAGTCTTCTCTCTTGTTCTTAGTATATTTCATTTCTAATTTTGATAATTTGAGTTTTCTTTTTCTTAATGAATTTCATTTCTGATTTTGTTAATTTGAGTCTTCTTTTTATTAGTCTAGCTAACGTGTTGCCAATTTTGTTTAGTTTAAAGAGCCAGCTTTTGGTTTTGTTGGTTTTCTCTATTGTTTTTCCATTCTGTATGTTATTTATCTCTGCTGTAATCATTATTTCCATTTGCTAGCTTTGGGTTTGGTTTGCTCTTCTTTTTCTATTTCCTCAAGGTGTATAATTAGGTTATGATAGGGTTATGTTTCTTCTTTTTCAGTGTATGTATTTACATAAACTTCCCTCTTCACATTGTTTTGTTGTATCTCATAACTTTTGGCATATTGCCTTTTCATTTTCCTTTGTCTCGAGATATTTTCAAATTTCCCTTGTCACTTCTTCTTTGACCAATTGAAGAAGAGTGTGTTTAATTTCCACGTGTGAATTTTCCAGTTCTCCTTCTGTTACTGATTTGTAGTTTTATAACGTTGTGATCAGAAAAGATACTTTGAATTATTTTAATTTTTAAAAATGTATTAAGGTTTGTTTTGTGGCCTAACATGTGGTCTATTCTGGAGAACGTACCATGTGCACTTGAGAGGAATGTGTATTCTCCTGTTGTTGAGTGGAGTGTTCTGTACATGGCTGTTGTGTCCAATTGGTTTGTAGTGTTGTTCAGGTCCTGTATTTTCTTACTGATCTGTCTGGTTGTTCTATTATTGAAAGTGGAGTATTGAAATATCCTAATACTAGTGTAAGAGTATTTGTTTCTCCCTTTTGCTCTGTCAATTTTTAAAAATATGTTTTGGGATCCTGTCATTAGGTTTATATAAATTTATAATTGTTATATCTTCTCGCCATGTTCCTTTTTATTTTTATTTATTTTTTTCAGACGGAGTTTCACTGTTGTTGCCCAGGCTGAAGTGCAGTGGTGTGCTCTCAGCTCATTGCAACCTTCACCTCCAGGGTTCAAGCAATACTCCTGCCTCAGCCTCCCAAATAGCTGAGATTACAGGCGCCCAGCACCACACCTAGCTAATTTTTTGTTTTTTGTTTTTTAAGACAGAGTCTCAGTTTTTCACCAGGCTGGAGTGCAGTGGCGCAATCTCGGCTCACTGCAACTTCTGACTCACTGGTTCAGGAGATTCTCCTGTCTCAGCCTCCCAAGTAGCTGGGATTGTAGGCACACGTCACCACGCTCACCTAATTTTTGTATTTTTGATAGAGGCAGGGTTTCACCATCTTGGCCAGGATGGTCTCGCTCTCCTGACCAAGTGATCTGCCCGCCTCGGTCTCCTAAAGTGCTGGAATTACAGGCGTGAGCCACTGCGCCTGGCCAATTTTTTGTATTTTTTAGTAGAGACGGGGTTTCACCATGTTGGCCAGGCTGGTCTTGAACTCCTGACCTCAGGTGATCCACTCACCTCGGCCCCCCAAAGTGCTGCGATTACAGTCCGGAGCCACCTGCCTGGCTTCCCTTTGTTAATATATACTTTAACTGTATATTTTCCCCATTCTATAAGTTGTCTGTTTACTCTGTTTATAGTTTCTTCTGCAGACAGTGGAATACTATGCGGCAACTAAGGTAGCCACCTAGCAGGATGTGTATCAGTATGGATACATTTTGAAAACACAGCTAAAAACAAGCTGCAAGGGCATAATAAGCATAGGATGGTGAGGGATAGAGCATGTTACCATGTTACAAACCCAACATAATATAGTATACTCTAAAAGCACAGTATAGTATAGCATCATTGTGTAAAACATTCAGAACACCCAGAACTGTACTACGCATTATCATGGATACATACATACATAGTGAAAGTGAAAAACCATTCAAGGGATGACCACATACCAATTTTAGGATAATGTTTATTACTCTTGGAGGTGGGAGGGAACATTGAAGCTTAAAAAATTCTTCCTAGAGTAAAAAGATTTTGCAAGTGTGGCAAAATTTAACTATTGTTAAGTCTGGATACCTGTTTGTCATTATTTTTGGAAGTTTCCTGTATATTTAAAATATTTAACAATCAAAAATTGAACAAGTGGAACGACTGTACTGTGCCACTTTTCTGCTTCTGGTGTGTGTATGTTTCAGTGCTCTGTGCCTTCCACCGTGTTTCTCTATCAGGTTCATAATGTATTTCTCTAAAGAAACGTTGTAATTTAATGGCTAAGTATCTTATGGCTAAGGAGATTGCAGATCAGCCTGGCTTCAGGGGCGTTGTTCACAGCTCAGCAGCAGAGGGCGCCACTCCACAGCTGATGTGCGGTGGGGCGGCCACACCAAGGAGCCCTCTTGGTGCAGGGCCAGTGCCTCCCAGGAAAGCACTGCTCCCCCAGCTGCAGGAAAGAGGAATATTTAAGTGTGTGCGGATTCCCTTTGACTTGTAGGAAGGGGCACAAAATCCAGCCGTTTGGAAGCATACATCATCTTTCTCTGACTATTCGTAGCCTCAGCTGTTTCTGAGGCCAATAATGCAAGAAACAGCACATGCCAAGGGCGTCTTTGCCACTGTGTCCATGAGCCTGCTGCTGACTTGCCAGGGGCTTTTTGTAATGTATTATTTTAGATTGAGGGGGTTAATGCACAGGTTTGTTACATGGGTATATTGTGTCCGTGATGGGGCTTTGGCTTGTAGTGGACTGATCACCATGCGAACTTTGTTGTTGTTAAGCCAACCAGGGAACTTTCCTTTTATTTTAAGTGGAAAAAGATTATTCATACCTGAAGGAGATATGCAATCACCAAGCAGAACAGCTAAACAGAACCAGCCTAAAGCTACAAGAAGAAACATCGGAGAGTGATGCAGAGATCAAAGACATGAAAGAAACCATGTTTGCATTGGAAGATGAGGTGGAACAGCACCAGGCTGGCAAGTTACATAGTAATCAACTTATCAGTGACCTAAAAAATAAGTGGGGTCAAGCCCAGGTGAAATGTGGAATGGGAGTGAGTAGGACACTAAAGAACCCAGCAGCAGTGGGTGACTGTGGGAAGGTTTTCGACCGTGTGTTGGCTGGGGTTTATGAAGAGTCTTTCATTTGAGTGTGCTGTAGTCTCCCGGGAAGAATAGCCCCTAAGAAACAATCATTAATCTCTTAAACTAAGTTTAAAACTGGATAACAGAAGAAAATAATAAGCAACATAAGTGACTGTGAAAAATAGCAAATGCTTTGTTGTTTGTTGTTCATTTTGTTGTTGTTTTAGAGAGAGGGTCTCAGTCTGTTGCCTAGGCTGGAGTGCAGTGGTACGACCATAGCTCACCACAGCCTCCAACTCCTGGGCTCAAGCGATCGTCCCAAATCAGCCTCCCAAAGCACTGGGATTACAGATGTGAATCACTGTACCTGGCCACAAATATTTCTTGTGTGTGCTAGATGTGCTGTGTGTGAGCCATGCTGCTGCCACTGTCTCTATGCAGCCTGATCGGCTTGGAGGCTGCAAGTTGGGACACTTCAGCTGTGACTGTGTGAGAGTTCACAGGGACTCTTCCTAAGGACATTCTGCGGGGTAGGAATGGGTTATTCAGAAGAAATACCTTGCCAGTCACCAAGTATTGACTCTGTGTTGTCTCTTAGATCTGATAGAGATGGATGATAGGTGTCACAGTGGATGAACAATGTGTGCTCTTGGTCTAAGGAAGAAAACAATTCCTGCATGTGTGCCATTGATGATAGGATATCAAGTAACTTACAGATGTTGGCCACTTAGTTGCTGAAGAGGCATCAGCATGTGGCTTATGAGCTCATTGTTTACTTTGACTTGGGAAAGAAATTTTTAAAAGGGATTAAACATTGCCTGCTTTGTCCAAATGAGCCTTATCAAATTGTCATATCTAATGTTCTTTGCTTTTGTGACAAAAGACTTAATGGACATGGCCGTGTGTGGTGGCTCACGCCTGTAATCCTAGCACTTTGGGAGGCCGAGGTGGGTGGATCACCTGAGGTCAAGAGTTTGAGACCAACTTGGCCAACATGGTAAAACCTCGTCTCTATTAAAAATACAAAAATTAGCCAGGTGTGGTGGCGGATGCCTGTAATCCCAGCTACTTAGGAGGCTGAGGGAGGAGAATCGCATGAACCCAGGAGGCAGAGGTTACAGCGAGCTGAGATCGCGCCATTGCCCTTCAACCTGGACAACAGAGTGAAACTCCGCCTCAAAAAAAAAAAAAAAAAAAGATTTAATGGACAAAGCATTTAGGTCACACCAGCCATTACTAAGAATAGCTTGGTCAGTTGCCTGAGAAGTTTCCCACCCCATGCAGTTGATCCTCCTTATTCACAGATTTCACATTTTTGAAATCCACCTGCTAGCTAAAATTGTTATTTTTTTTTCAGATGGAGTTTTGCTCAGCCTCCCGAGTAGCTGGGATTGCAGGCTTGCGCCACCATGCCCGGCTAATTTTGAATTTAATTAGCAGAGACGGGGTTTCTCCATATTGGTCAGGCTGGTCTTGAACTCCCAACCTCAGGTGATCCTCCCGCCTCAGCCTCCCAAAGTGCTGAGATTACAGGCATGGGCCACGGCACCCAGCTTCTAAAATGTATTTTAACCCCCAAATCAACACACCGAGCACTTTCACAGTCATTTTTGTCATTTTTGGACATGCACAGAGAAGTGAAAAAGTTGAGTCATCTGGTGCTTATGCTCCCCATGAGGTCAGGCGAACACTTTACCTTCTCGTACTGTACACGTGTCTTTTCTGTGGTCTATTTACTACTGCACTTTTAGCATTTTTTTACTTGGTTTTGGTGACTTCGCTGTTTAAAATGGCCCCAAGTGCAGTGCCGCAGTGCTGTCCACTGTCCCTAAGCACAGGGAGGCTGGGAGAGACGTGCAGAGAAAATGTGTGTTAGGGAAGCTTCGTGAAGGCATGAGCTCCTGAACTGTTAAACGTGAGTTATTGAATCGACGAGAGAAAGGGAGAGGAAGTTTGACAATATGTTTGTGTTTAACAATACGTTTGTAAAGCTGCCCTGACGTGCTAAAGGGACATCTGTAGAGTGTGATGCAGCCGTGGAAAAGATGGAAAAGTGGCCAAATTCATGGATTCATGAGAAGACAGCCAATTTTAAAAAGCAGTGGGCAACGTTATTGTGAGACTGAAAACCAAAGACATTTACGTGCACATCGCCCAAAATCAGGAAAATATTAAATCCTTCTTGGCTAATGCTGGTCGGCTCCCAGGTTTCAAAAGGCTGTAAAGTGTGAGAAAGGTTAACCTTGCAGGCAAGGCAGATTCTGCAGATCAGGAGGCTGAGGAAGAATTTAAAAATACTTGCTCAGTATCAGGAAGAAGGAAATGGGAAGAATGGATTTCCACTGCTGATGAGACTTGCTTGTTTTATGGAGAAATTGGCAGATGAACCTGTGCAACGCAAATGGCATTTCAGTTGATGAGAATGTTGTGACCAGAGGATCTCGGGAACCTAACCTGTATTAACCTGTATTTTTCACGATAGTTCAGTGTTTGCTTATTTGGTGTGCATGGCAGCTCTGTGCACGAACCTGTGTATTCCAGTTATTGATGAGTTGGTATGAGTGAGAGTTGACAGCGCCTGCCCCATTTCTCCTTGGACATGACATGCGGTAGAACTGCGGGACCTCAGCATTCAGCATTGGTGCCATCCAGGCTGTTCTCAGAATACAACTGAAAACCTGTACGCCATCATCGTCAGTGTATCCTTCCAAACCCAGCACCATGATTGAGAAGAAAAGTCAAAGAAGACAAGTTCTGTTCTGTTTGTTTTTGTTTTCGTGATATTTTGCTGTTGAGAATGGGGTTGTATTGTCCCTAAATCCTTAAAAGTCAGCACAGACACACCAAGAAAACCAGTGTGTAATTAATGTCCACAGCAAAATTTAGGCCCACCCCTGTGGTTATATCATCATATATCCAAGACTGACAGTAACCCAAGCCATCTTTTGAAAAGCTGTTAAACTTTTTAAAAGGATTTTGAAGTATTATTCAGATATCTTTTTGCTCAGAGACCCTGGGACACACGAATCCGGCCCTAGACCAATCACTCCTTCCCATAAGATCCTGATGGGAGAGAAATGGACTGAAAAATAAGAGGAAATTAGGGAGTGTTTTCTACTCTGCAGAGTGATCCCAGATGCAGACTCACAGGCCCACTAGAACTAGAACTGCTGGGGTAGGACCTGCCCACAGGCATCTTTTTAGCCTTCTCTGGTGATTCTGATTCACATGCTTCATAGAAAACTAATGCTCTAGGTTAGAGGATGAGGACCTGTTGAGAAATTTCAGCTTGGTGACTGACACCATCACATTTAAACTCGAATGACTGATAGCCATATGGAGAGAATTGGAGGCAGGGAGAATGAGGGGCTGCAGGTGTCCTTAAGTAGGGAGAGGCAGGCAAGCCGCCTGGGAAGATGTTAAATGCACACATCCCTGGGTTCCGTTTGCCCTTGGAGATTCTGCCTCCGTGTACCTGGAGTGTGGGGCTAGAACGTAAGTGCTTTTCAAAAGCTTCATCAGTGATTCAGAGGCTTAACTGTGATTGACACCCACGACTCTGGAAAGTGCTTTACAGACCGCAGGAGGAATAAGCAGTCATGTGCTCTGTTATGTGAAAGCTTCTATCTCACAGTGATAAAGGATGCTTAGGACGACTGTGTGTGAGTGCAAGGGAGGCTGGGCTCGGTGTGCAAGTGTGCATGGCCATTGAGGCCTCTTCCTGTAGTGCTGCTATTTGGTTGTGCATTCTGTTTGCTGAGGTTGTAACCTCAATGTGCACCATGTATTTTTCAGATCATCCTGTTGCCTGTCTTGGAGGAACTTACTTCTTCCAGCCCCTCTTTGCAGGGTAAATTGAAATTGCTGAAAGTTGCATTTAGAGTAGAATGGATAGATTTGAACACCTGCTGTGGCATCTGGAGCTGCCCCTTTGCTACCTGACTTACCTTCTCTCAAGAGTCTCACAACTCTTCCAAGGCCTATCTGAATTGTCTATTTCTAGGTAATGTGATCAAGCCGGAGGAACAGAAGTCAGATTTGGGGAGGCAACTAAAGACTCTGACCGAGCAGATACAGGGGAGATGTGGTGGGAGCCTTCACCACAATCTTCCTATAAATTACCCCCTCCGAGATCTGGATCACTGTCTCTATCCTGCTTTCTCTTGGAACATTTTCATGACCTGGGCCCTGAAACTAAATTCTTGCCAGCAGGAAGTAAAATCAAAGCAGTCATTTGTTGTCAGGATGGAGAGCTCTCATAACCTGAAGGTGTAATTCCCACCAGTGCCTTTTCCTAGCAGTGAGACGCGGTGAAAGAAGGGCCTCACTAAGCACTGCTGGTTGTTCTTTCTTGGTGACTGACACAGGGACTCTGGGGTCTCTGCCCAGGCACCAGCCCTGGCAGGCATCTGACACAGGGGTGGGCTCTGGCATTTTCAGAAGGAAGCCAAGGAATGGAGGTGATTCCAACCGGATCTGCAGACTGCAGTGGCAGTGGCCAACAATATCAAGTGAGAAGCCCACCAGGAGCTGGGCACTGTGAAGAGGAAACTGCTGGAGGAGGCGGGGG